TCAAAATTCTGAATGATTTCGGAATGAAATTAAATCCTGCCAAATGTTCTTTTGGTGTGCCTTCCGGAGAATTCCTAGGCTATATAGTCACGGAAAGAGGAATAGAAGCAAATCCTAATCAGATTAACGCTTTCCTTACTATGCCTTTGCCAAGAAACATTAAGGAAGTCCAACGATTGACAGGCAGAATTGCTGCATTAAATCGTTTCATATCGAAGTCTACCGATAAATGTCTCCCTTTTTATCAGATTTTAAAAGGAAACAAAAAATTTAGGTGGGCTGATCAATGCCAAGCGGCTTTCGATCAACTCAAAACTTATTTGACAACACCGCCGGTTCTCTCAAAACCTGAATCGGATGAAAAACTTTACCTTTACATCTCGGTTTCTAATCATTCTGTAAGTGGGGTTTTAGTTCGAGAGGACCGAGGTGAGCAAAAGCCGATTTTCTACATAAGTAAATCTCTAACTAGTCCAGAAACGAGATATACCATGATGGAGAAATTAGCTTTAGCAGTGGTCGTATCCGCTAGGAAGCTCAGGCCTTATTTCCAATCTCATCCTATAGAAGTACTAACTTCCCATCCGCTTCGCTCAATTCTTCACGGGCCAAGTCAGTCCGGTAGGTTAGCGAAATGGGCAATCGAACTCAGTGAGTACGATATAGAATACAAAAGTCGAACTAGCGCAAAAGCACAAGTTCTGGCTGATTTTCTAACCGAACTGCCACTAGATGATGGAATCCCTATTGAGACAGACTCTACATGGAAATTACATGTAGATGGATCTTCTTCTAAACAAGGATCCGGAATCGGCATTAGGCTCGAAACTCCGACAAATGAAATAATCGAGCAGTCATTTCGATTAATGTTTCCAGCTTCGAACAATGAAGCAGAATACGAAGCTCTTTTAGCAGGACTTCGGCTTGCTCTTGCGATTGGAGCAGAAACAATAATAGCTTATTGTGATTCTCAGCTGGTTGTAAACCAGTTTGCTGGAGATTACGAAGCTAAGGCTCCTCGAATGGAAGCTTCTCTTTCGGCTGTCAAAAAATTAGCCAGAAAATTCAAAGAATTCGAATTAGTTCGAATACCTAGAGGAGAAAACATTTCGGCAGACGCTTTAGCGGCCCTAGCTTCTACCTTAGATCCTGAACTCAAACGAGTTATCCCAGTTGAATGTATTTCTTCGCGAAGTATTTCGGTTGAAGAAACAGAAAACGATAACATTTCGGAGGCCGAATACATCGAAACTCCAAAACAAAGTTCCGGAAATAGTTCACTTGTCATCACCAGATCACGAATAAAGTCTCAAGATGAAGAACTTACTCCACCATTGGAACTTCCTAAAAGAAAGTTAAAGGATAAAGAGGTTCCCATTAAAGAACCATCTCGAACCGAACAGTCACTTCCAGGTGATGTAGAGGTTCAGGAGACAATCGAAGATCCTGATATTCCTTCCGAACCTGAACCAAGGAAGTTTATACTCAAGGATAATACTTCCGCTAATGATTGGGGGGATGACTAGAGGGTACCCATCAAAAATTTCATTCTTAATGGAGAACTACCATCTAACAAATAGCAAGCTCGCAAATTAAAAATCATCAGCGCTAAGTATTGTATAATTAAAGAGTCATTGTACAAGCGAGGCGTCAGTGATCCTTATCTTTTATGTATTTTCGGACCCGAAGTTGAAATAGTGACAAGCGAGGTCCACAAAGGGCTTTGTGGTAGTCATTCTTCGGGACGAGCAATGGCTTTCAAAATCAAACGGTTAGGATATTTCTGGCCAACTATGATTTCAGACTGCATCGATTACGCCAAACGGTGTAAAAAATGTCAGATGCACGCTCCACTTATTCACCAGCCATCTGAAATTCTATCATCTATATCCGCTCCATACCCTTTCATAAGGTGGTCAATGGATATAATTGGTCCGATGCATCGCTCAACGCGAGGCGTCCAATACTTATTAGTTCTAACGGACTATTTCTCCAAATGGATCGAAGCTGAAGCTTATATAAGCATACAAGATTCCGTAGTAAAGACATTCTTGTGGAAACACATTATTTGTCGCTATGGAGTTCCTTATGAAATAGTAACGGACAATGGTCCTCAATTCATTTCAAATGAATTTGAAGATTTTTGTGCCGCTTGGGGAATAAAATTTAGCTACTCAACGCCGAGGTATCCTCAAGGAAATAGACAAGCGGAAGCCTCCAATAAAACCATTCTCAGCAATCTTAAAAAAACGCTTGAGTGCTCGAAAAGGTGGATGGTATGACGAGCTGCAACCTGTGTTGTGGGCTTATTGAACAACCCCGAGATGAGCAACGGGTGAAATTCCATTCTCATTAGTTTATGGGATGGAAGCCGTAGTCCCAGCCGAGCTGAATGTTCCAGGTTTGCGCCGGAGCGAAGCTCCACTTAACGAGGAATCAAATTCTAAATTATTAGAAGATGTTCTCGATACAATCGATGAAAGGCGAGACCAAACCCTTATTCGACTTCAGAATTATCAACAGTTGACCGCTCGATACTATAACTCAAAGTTGAAAAACAAACCTTTAAATGTAGGAGACTTTGTTTTAAGGCGAGTGTTCGATAACACAAAAGAAGGAGGAGCTGGAAAACTCGGTATTAACTGGGAAGGCCCTTATCAAATCACTGAAAAAATCCAAAACGGTGTATACCGTTTACAAGACCTTGGTGGAAATCCCGTTCAAAGGCCTTGGAACATAATCAACTTGAAAAAGTTCTATTGCTAAAGCAAACACATTCGAACTACGATTTGGCTTGATCCTATTCTGGGTACGTAGGCAGCTCGCTAAACACGAGTCCAGCTATAATATAAAAATAAAAATATTATTCTAGTCATGGAATCTTGTTTTTATGAATTTGATATTAGAGCATAAATATAAAGATACGTTGCGAACAATGTATAAATAAATATTTCTTGCTAAGCTAAGACCTGATCTAGAAGGGTCTTGATCCGCTCCTTGACCAGCGAAGTCAACGATGCTCATAATGCAACCTGACATGTTTCCGTACTCTTGAAGTCCCAGTTTGATCCAATCGGAAGGATGGGCTTCGAGGCAATGAAGCTCGCGAACAATGTCAAGGCAACGCTTCCCTAGTTCCCTTCTCTTCTTCCTAATCTCCTTTTTCTCGTCCTCGAGCTCGTCATGCCGAGTGATAAGCTGAAGAAAATAAAACGCTACGTTGAGCAATAACAAAAAGAAGTTAAATCACTAGGATGGAAAATACCTTGGTGATAAACTCCTCGGCTTTAACACGATCTTGGGCTGACAATCTCTCGATTAATATGATCGGAACTTGAATGCTGGTTCCCTTCCTCAATATTCGTGAGCCTTCCGGTTCGCCAGTTCTTCCTGTTTTTGTAAGCTCGATGTCTGGTGCTCCTGGAAGATCGTCACTTATCAATCTGGATGAGTCAGAAGTTTTCTCTGAAGAAGTTCCCTCTTCAGACATTTTTGTAGAATTGTTGTTGAAATTCAATGATAAACTACACCCACTTTATACTCGAAAATTTATTCGATTGCATTTAAGAGGATTAATTGACGATTTCCCAAATCTGAAATTACGACTTTCATGGAAAATGTAATCGAGTTAATTGCTAATTATATTCCCTAGATTAAACGCATTAAATGAGATTTGAATAAATCGGCAAATTTAAAGCAAAAGGAGGAATATAATTAATGTTGCTGGGTTTCAAGTCCAGTGACATTTTACAAACATAAAACGGAAAGTGTTCGATTAAAAGTCTTTGCCCGATAATGACTCCAGCGAGGTGGAAGATCCCGAACAGCTTTCTGAGGATAGTCCCTCGTCAGAAGATAAATCAAAAGGGCCGGGGAAGTCATCAACAATTTTCATCTCCGGTTCCTCTTTTTCTTCAATTCTTAACATCGGAAGTCTCCGAAACTCTGAGGAACATGAAACAAAAGAGGACCCATCGCTGGTCGCCAAGGATAAACGATGAAATTTATCCAGCATGCGGAGGAATCTTCGGAGGCAAGTAGGCAGTATGGCCACAATGTCTAGACCATTCCTCTCCCATTCGTGCGGTTCAGATTCCAGGCGAAGGATCTCTCTTTCCATCCTCTTTATGCGCTCATCAAGAGCACGGCGCCTCCTTCCGATTCTTTGTCTCTTATCACATAAAGCTTTGTGTCTCCCGACAATCTGTTTGAACAAACATTTTGTCAAATGACCAAAAGAAAGGAAGTTATAGTTTTCTGAGAAGAGTAAGAGTTAGAAAAGGAACCTTTTCCAGGAAGTCATAACATTTAACCCTTTTCTTCCCTGTTCGGAAATGAAAAAACGTTGGGTGAATAACTCCCTTTGGAGAGAATCCGTCTTCAGACTCAAACAGTGGATTCCCACCTAAAGTTGTTATTCTTGAGCTTGATCTGAAAGAAGACGGCGGCATTTTTCAAGTTTTTTCTTATAATGAACTATGGTGATCTTTCGGAATTCCTTTTGAAGGAGAAAGAGGTTCAGATTTCTAAAAATAATTATATATTGCTGGCCTGTTAGAGCAGGCTTCAGATCCAATTAAAACGCGGCCCAGCGATTCCGAAGCCATCATGGGCAACGATCAAAACCATTGCCTGGTCATATTTATGACAAAATTCTCATGAATTATAAATCTTATCCCTCGATAAAAAAAAAACTTAAGCCGAGCTCCATCCTCGCCTTCGAGAGACTGAGGAAAAATACTTATTAAGATTTTTTCTTTAAAAAAGGCAAGTGAGCCTGATCAGCTCATCTCTCACAATTCATAAAACCTCTTTGGTGGGCTAGGACTTGCAAACCTAGAATCATGTCCAAACGTTTTTGTTTAATATAATCATCATATGTCAGAGCATGTACATGGTTGTGTTCAGTCACACTAATTGAACAAAATATTTCCGTCAAACGGAATAATCCTCATGGACTCAACAAAACAATTCTTAAAAAAAAAAAAAAGAGAGCGTTCCTACACCTCTGGAGAACCCTCATGTAGCCGAGAACCATCACCTACCTCGAATTGAGATGGGGAATCTCCAAATACCAAAGAAAATTGTTTCAGATCGAGAGTAGGACGGGAAGCCGAGGATAACTCGGACTCAACCATAGCGAGTTCGGCAGCAACTTCGCCCCTCTCGTTCTCGAACGAAACTCTTCCAGCCTCTAGTTCCTTAATCAGGTCTAGATTGCTCTTCAGTTCGGCTCGATCTGTTAGAAGTTTAGTCCAGACCTCTTCGTCCTTGATGAACTTCGTAACAGATTGAATAAGTTTCCTACCGAATCCCCTCATCTCTTCTCGAGCATTATGTTCGGCTTCAGCGATATCGCGAGCCCTGTTCCTAGTTAAAAGCTCGATCTCTTGATTTGCTTCTTCGAAAAAAGCCGTATTCTCCTCTAGCTCAGCCTCCAAGCGAAGAGCATTAGACCTCGCAGAATCTCTTTCAGCATTCGCAATTCTGATGCGTTGCTCGTTAGCTGCTAGAGTTTTCTTCATATTTTCAAAAGATGACTCGAGTGCTTTTTCCCACTCAAGTCGCTCAGATTGGTTGGCTAATCTAAGTTCATCAACCTCCTTCTTTGCCTTTGCGGTCTCTCTCTTCGCTTGATGAAGAAGGTTCTCATAATGGAAGATCATTCCATTAGTCTCCATAAACGCCTTCGGAGTAAAAAAAAAACGTGTCGTTTAGACAAAAAGCTTTTACCTAAGGAAGGGAGGTTGTCGTAGTCTAAAAGATCCGAACATGGGATAGGTAGCACGCTCGATTGGCGAACATCTGACGGATTTCCGGCCTCTAAACCGAAAAAGGAGGAAGGGACGCCCTTTCCCTGGTTTGGAAATTTCGGAAGATGTCTCCAATCTCTTCTCCGCCTGCAAAGCAGAGGAGAATAGCAGATTAATAAAATAGATGCAATCCGTAGCAAGTTTTGCTAATGCTCGCTTTCTAAGTAAAAACTTACCTGAAATCGAAGCGGGTAAAGGATTTTGAGTCCTAACACTCAGTCCTTGAGATAGGGGAACCTCCGGTCTCGGCTCATCTATTTCCTCTGAAATTACTCTGTCTCCCGGAAGAGGGAGCTCGGAGTTTAAAGGTTCTGAAGAGGGAGAAACAGAACATAGAGGGCTAGAGACTCGTGGCAGTGAACTTAATCTCACAGTTTTAAGTCTCTTGTTTGATAGATTATCGGAATCTGGAGCCTTCCTCTTTGTACAAGGAGAGGAGGTTATTTCTCCCTCACACCCTGGTTCGGAAGGGCAAATTGCGGTGGCAACTGGAGGGTCGTTAAGGATCTCGGCTCCATGAGTATCCACCACGGCTGACAGGGCTGCTTCTAATGAACCGTCATCAACCAAGAGGGTCTTCCTGTGGAAGTTACCAACCCTGTGATATGACTATGGGCGAGCAAGACTCAGAACTAGAACCACAGAATCAGCTCGTAGCCGAGGAACAGCTCATAGCCGAGGAGCAACATGTAGCGGAGGAAGCTCTAGCCGACCCAACGGGTCCGATGACTCGTTCAAAGACAAGACTTCTCAACCAAGCCGTTAGCGGACTCCTTAGACACTTGGACCAGCGCACAAGCGGAGTTATCCAAACCACTTTGGTTTCGATAACAGCCCAAGACAATTGGTAATGGGCTAAGTGTTACTTGGGTACTCTTTTTCCCTTCTAAGGTTTTGTCCCAATGGGTTTTCCTTAGTAGGTTTTTAATGAGGCTTGAGTAACACTTCCAAAACCTCCATTATCAATTCGGCCCAGCCCATCCTAAAGAAGAAGAAGAATCTCGCAAATTTGAAGGCTAAGGGTCATATTTTGTGTTCAATTTTCGTTTTAATGCTTTGTTATTTCCGAGTTTTCTTGGAGCTTGTTCCAAGACTAACTCTTCCCCTTCTCACTTCTCTATTTAAGTCACTTGTACTTCTTCTTTGAAAAACATCTAATCTTTTATCAAAAACTCTTTCAAGGTAGATCAATTTCTTGTTCTTCTCTTTGGTGCATAATATCCAACGACGAGATCAAGATCGGTAAATCAAAGGCCTTCCGCAACCTTTGTGCGACCATTCAATCCATTTCCTTTGCACCAACTTGATATTCCCATCTCTTTGATGCAAAGTCCATCCCTTACTCAACCTCAAGAGTGCCGATCTTAGGAGAGTTCTATCACCCTGGAGATTGCAGCTATCCGTTTCTTTCTCCCGATTTTGGATAGCTGATCCTTAAGAGCCTTGATTTCAGCCTGCATCTTTCTTTTATCTCGAGCATTCAGGCTCGAGACGACTTTCTCCTCGGGAGGAGGATCGAGGGGGTGAGTTTGACCGTCTTTAATGGCGAGCCCCGCTTCAAGAATGCGTTGAAGGGTGAAGGAATTCCAATTTGTTTCGCCCTCGGAAACGATTCGAAAGAAGGACAAGAAGTCAACGGTTGGGCGGGGGATCGTCTGGTTCCCTGAAACAAAGTATTGGGTTAAGAATTCTATCTCTTTTACATAATACAGTGGAAAGTAATAAAGGTTGGATTTTTAACCAAGTTTAGCCGACCATTTGGCGAGAAGAAGACCGGAAAGACCTTAAACGGAATGGGGATTGACTCGGAAAAAGAACTTGTATTTCCTCCAAGGCCCATCATTCGAGGGCATTCCGTCGATCAGGTTATGGTCAAGGATAGGGGATAGGGTTTATAGAAAAAATACCCTAGGTGGAGGAGGTATAAAAGAAGAACTTCCGGTACGGGAAAAAACAAACCACAACCTTTGAAATAGACTTTGTACGCACAACAGTAACCCTCTCGCACCACTTTCGGAGACTCGTTGGGTCTAGGAAGAGAGAATTCAATTTCCTGGGGGATGTTACAAAGGCGGCAAAGAGCGCCAAGGGAAGCAGAGGTCGACTGAGACCTGAAATGCGGACCAAATTTGTCTCCCCTTTGGGTGAAGACTTCATCCCCTCTGGGAACAGGGATTCCTTGACTGTCATCATCGTTTTCCGAAACATAGACGGCTGGGGAAGACATCTTTTACTAAGAGGTTTCTCTTTTTCTGGTTTGGTAAAAGCTTTTAGAGGTAAATGTACGCTGCTGTAAAAGCCGTCGTTCCATTTAACCTTATTTAGCAGAAAACCACCTCGAGAATATTGGGAAGTGGGACATTTTTCCCTGTGGTATTAATATAAAATTAGAAAATTAATGATGACGGTTGTTGGTGTCGGATCCCGCACCAGAAGTCTGAGACCAACCAAAGATTGCCACGTAGTCAAGATAATGGCCCATAAAGGATAAAGCCCATTGGACCCATGAGCCGAAGGAACGATCGAAGTGGTTGTCACCACTTCGAGAATCCGAAGTGGCTGCACTTTGACATGAGTTCGGTGTAGAAGACACGGGTAAGTCGGTTCAAGGACACTTGGGCCAAAAGGCGAGGCCCATGAAGATCAGAGTCAACTCAAATTCAAACGTTGAGCATTGAAGTCAAAGAATCAAAACGGACACATTTAAGAAGGAATAATTATACTTAATTACTCATTTTAATGTCGTTTCTCTATGTATAAATATAAAGGCCAATGGCCATGTAAGGGGGATCTCTCTCTCGAGCAAGAAATACTATAGCAATTTTTGTAACAATCCATAAGCCTTTTGCATTCTTATTTTTTGTCCCTCAAGAATAATCTTTCCTACTTAATAAAAATACTTGAGTGTGTGAATCCGACATCCACATTTTGGCGCCGTCTGTGGGGATAGAGGATTCTTGAGTGGTCAGATTTTTCTTTACTACATTCCCGAGATAAGCAGCAATGTCCGGAGGAGACGCCGTTGAGACATCATTGGCCGAAACCCTCAAAGCTATGCAGCAAACCATGTCGGACATATCACAAAAGTTCTCGGATGTGGAAAAGGCTGTCGATACGTTGCAAACATCCCAGGTATCTCTTAGTCAAAACGTCAATACTATACAAACTCGTGTTCGCTCTTTAAGTGCAGGAAATCCTGTGGGAATCCGAAGGAGGATACTCAACTCGCCAAGTTGCGTTGCGCGAAATGAAACCAGCGGACAAACAACTCCTGGTACTACTACTAATGTAGTTCAGCCATAGGATGGAGAGGCACAGCTCGAAGATGAAGCTCAACTTGCAAATCAATACGAGCAGGAAAACCTCAACCAGTTCGAGACTATGAGGAAGGTTAGCCAAGAACTAAAAGAAATGAAGTCAAAGTTCCATCAGGCTACAAGTTCGGAGCCGGATATCAATCGAGTCATTGAAGAAGCTAGGAGAACACCTTTCATCTCGCGAATTGCGAGTTTGAGAATCAAAGATTCCCGGAAGCTCAAGTTGGACCCTTACAGCGGATTGGAGGATCCAAAGAGCTATCTCGCAGCTTTTCTGATCGCTGCTGGAAGAGTCAAATTGGATGAAGCTGATGAGGATGCAGGTTACTGCAAGCTTTTTTCGGAAAATCTATGCGGCCAAGCTTTAATGTGGTTCACCCAATTAGAGCCGGGTTCGATCAGCAATTTCGACGAGCTATCAGCTGTATTCTTAAAGCAATATTCCATCCTTATGGATAAAAGCGTTTCGGATGCCGATCTTTGGAACTTATCACAAGTATCAAATGAATCACTTCGAGTTTTCATCACCAAATTCAAAGGAGTGCTGTCAAAGCTCCCAAGAATCTCACAACAATCAGCTTTATCTGCCTTACGAAAAGGATTGCGACATGATTCAAGATTTAAAGAAGATTTAATACTTCATAAACCAGACACAATTCAGGATGCACTCTTCCGCGCAAACAACTGGATGGAGGTAGAGGACGAAAAAGAAAATTTTGCCAAAAGAAATAAGCAAGAGAAGCCGGCAATCACCGTCCCTACCAAGAAGTTCGAACCCAGGGAAAACAAAGGACCAAAGAACTTTGGGTCGCAACCCTTCAACAGTACCGTCGGAAAGCAATTCCAAGGGAAAGGAAGATCAAACACTTGGGTCTGTGATGAAAGTTTATATTGCGACATTCATAAAGTAACCGGAAATTTAACCAAGGATTGTAGCGTTCTTAAAAGGCACCTCGCAGAGCTTTGGGCCAGTGGAGATCTTTCCAAATTCGATATAAAAGATTTTGTAAAGGAATACCACGAAGCAAAGGAAAGTTCCAAAGATCAAAATTCCAAAAGACCAAGGTTAACCAACGAGGAAGAACCAAGGAATTCTAAGGGTAAGATCAATGTTATTCTAGGAGGTTCCAAATTTTGCGGAGATTCGATTAGTTCCATCAAGAAACATAGACGAAATGTCCTACTCAAAGCAAGCTTAAGCGAAGAAGTCGATTTTCAAGGTGCATCAATATCATTTAATGAAGAAGAAACGCGGTACCTCGAAAGACCTCATGATGATGCTCTAGTCATTACCCTTGACGTTGCCAACTTGGAAGTATCAAGGATCCTTGTAGATACAGGCAGTTCGGTCGATTTGATCTTTTTAAGTACTTTAGAAAGAATGGGAATTAGTCGGGCGGACATAGTGGGGCCTCCGTCTCCATTAGTTGCATTCACAAGTGAGTCAGCCATGTCTCTCGGGACAATCAAGCTACCGGTCCTTGCCAAAAAGGTATCGAAAATCATGGACTTCGTTGTCTTCGATAAGCCCGCAGCTTACAACATCATCCTCGGGACTCCCTGGATTTATCAAATGAAAGCAGTCCCCTCTACATATCATCAATGTATCAAATTTCCAACATCAAGAGGAGTGGAAACAATTCGGGGAGATCAAGAAGCTTCACGGACGTGTTATCTAGCTAGCCACCGTATGAAGATTCAATAGCAATTAACGAAGCCCGCAAAAGAGGGACTAAGAACAAAATTTCCTAGCGGGCAGAAGAAAGACGATGTAGTAATCGAAGTGGTGTTGGAAGAAGACAAGCCGGACCGGAAAATTCGAATTGGGGCGACTTTGACTGGCCAAATAAAAGAAGCTTTGATCGAACTCTTAAGGAAAAACAAAACATTGTTTGCGTGGTCAGCAGCGGACATGCCTGGCATAAATCCAAGTATAATTTGTCATGAACTAAACGTGGATCCAAGCTTCAAACCGGTGAAACAAAAAAGAAGAAAGCTTGGAGTAGAGCGAGCAAAAATAGTAAATGACGAAGTGGATAAACTCTTGAAGATAGGGTCCATAAGAGAAGTGCAATATCCGGAATGGGTAGCAAACACTGTCGTTGTCAAGAAGAAGAATGGGAAAGATAGGGTTTGCATCGACTTCACAGACCTCAATAAAGCATGTCCCAAAGACAGTTTCCCGCTCCCACATATAGATCGACTTGTAGAGTCCACCGCTGGGAACGAGCTGTTAACATTCATGGTCGCCTTCTCGGGTTATAATCAAATAATGATGAACCCCGAAGACCAAGAAAAAACGTCATTTATCACTGATAGAGGTATCTACTGCTACAAGGTAATGCCTTTTGGTTTGAAAAATGCAGGAGCAACTTATCAACGGTTGGTTAACAAAATGTTCCATAATCATCTCGGGAAAACAATGGAAGTCTACATAGATGATATGTTGGTTAAATCGTTAAAGAAAGAGGATCACGTTAAGCATTTAGAGGAATGTTTTGATATTCTCAATAAATATCAAATGAAGCTGAACCTGGCGAAGTGCACATTTGGAGTCCCATCCGGAGAATTTCTTGGCTATATTGTGACAGAAAGAGGGATTGAAGCCATTCCAAATCAAATTAACGCCTTTCTAAACATGCCATCTCCAAGAAACTTCAAAGAAGTACAACGGTTTACTGGGCGGATTGCGGCTTTGAATCGTTTTATCTCGAGATCAACAGATAAGTCGTTACCTTTCTAGCAAATTCTAAAAGGGAACAAAGGATTCCTTTGGGATGAGAAGTGTGAAGAAGCTTTTGGGCAGCTTAAGGCATACTTAACCACTCCACCTGTACTATCCAAACCAGAAGTGGATGAAAAACTTTATTTGTACGTGTCGGTTTCAAACCACGCGGTTAGTGGAGTCTTGGTTCGGGAAGACCGCGGGGAGCAGAAACCAATTTACTACGTAAGCAAGTCAATGACGGATCCGGAAACCAGATACACAATGATGGAAAAACTTGCACTCGCGGTGGTGACTTCGGCTCGGAAGCTGCGCCCATATTTTCAATCCCATCCGGTTGAAGTATTAACCAACCAACCACTCCGAACAATACTTCATAGTCCAAGTCAGTCCGGACGTTTGGCGAAATGGGCGGTGGAATTAAGCGAGTACCTCTTGTTTTAGCTTCTAGGAATTGTTCAAGAGTGAAAGAATTCCAAAGGGTTTCCCCTTCGAGAATTATCTTGAAGAATTCGATGAACCCTTCAGATGGGAGAGTGGAAGCGATGAAAGCTGCGAAATGAAACAACAGTTTTAGTCAATAAAGATAATAAAACAACCGGAAAAGATATATGCGACCTAATCTCTACCAGGCTTCGCAGACCACTTTGATGGGAGTAAATCTGCAAGATTTCCAATCGAGGCGGGAGTTTTCTTAATCAGAAACCAAGGATGGTGCCAATTTTCATCCTTGTTCGGAAGGTGCGAGATGATGTTTCTATTAGCGTTCGGATACGCTGAGAAGTACCCCGTCTTCTTCGATGAACTTCTTACGCTTAGAAGCTCATTTAGTTCAGTGACTCCGATAACATATCCGGCCTCCGCCGCGATTGTTATAATTCCAAGGATAGTACGAAGAAGATTAGGGGTTAATTGAGGAAGAGCAATTTCAAGAGCCGCTAGGTATCGAACTAGGGCTTTGGGAAGGGGAAAGGTCAGCCCGCAACCTTTAAAATAGATCTCGTATACACAGATGTAGCCGTCGTGGTGGCTTTCTGGGGACTCCGTAGGATCAGCTATCTGCGCCTCCGCCATAATTCCCGGTGGGATTCGGCAGAGCTCCCTCAATCGTTCGAGGGATTGAAGGGTGCAGGTGGATCTATAGTGCGGACCGGCAATATCATTAGGGCGGGTGCACTCATCATT